TAGAGGTTTTGGTTTGTGTGGAGTCTGGGTTTAGGGTTTGAAATTGGGATCATGACAGATAGTATATGATGGCAGATTGACGTCATGAAGATGGACCTGTTGCCCTATTTGGACCAGCTGCCGGGGCTTTGCTGATATCAACAGTGGCACGTGGTAGTTGACGGATCAGGGATGGAAGCGGATAGGAAGTGGTGACATCAGAAATGGTGGGGGAGCAAAGAATATGAGGAGGAGGAGGGTGGAGGTGACAAGGAGGTGAACTAAAATAGGGATCCAGAAATGACTGTCAGGTGAGAATAAAAACGAGAGGAAGGGGCCCATGGTGGGGCTAGGCAAAGGAAGGGGAGTAAGGGAAACGACAAAAGCGAGGGCGCAATGCAATGTGTAGCCAGTGGCGATGCGAAAATTTGCCAAAATGCCAAAACGCGGAAAGTACCAAATGGAAAAGCAAAGGTGAGTGTGACTGGATTGCCTAATAGAGGTGGTGCTGATCAGCCACAAGTTTGAAAAAGGCAATATTACTTACTATTCCACGTGGCACTGTGCCTGTGTGGCGCAAAGGCGAGTCTTTTTGAATATTTGCTTCGTTATTGACACCTGTCCATGCTACCAATCAACTTTGGTGCATGACAGTGCAAAGTACCGAATGGAAAGCAAAGGTAAGCGCAACTTGATTGCCTAATAGAGGTGGTGCTGATCAGCTACAAGTTCGAAAAAGGCAATATTAATTACTATTCCACATGGCACTATGCCTGTGTGGCGCAAAGGCGAGTCTTTTGAATATGCACTTCATTATTGACACCTGTCCATGCTCCCAATCAACTTTGGTTCATGACATCCACGGACAACTTGAAATTGCAACTGTCCCCAGTTGCTTTCATAAAGGTAGGGTCATAGGGAATGAAACATGGCAACACATTAAGGGGTCATGTGGTCATAAAATTTATTCTGGTAAGTCATTAATCATCATCTTCATCATCTGAGTTGTTATGCTCATAGTCAGGTTCATCTTCAGGCTCATCTAGGTTGTCATCATGGTCATCCAGTTCATCCAGGAGGGGCATAGACTGTTGGTTGAAATAGGAAAGCAGTCGAAATGCTGCAATTGCTCTTTGTGATACTGATCCATCCATTTCTTTCAGAACATACAATCCTCCTTTAGTACATCGCACAATTTCATAAGGGCCATTGTAACGAGGCTTTGCTTTACGATCCAGCTCTTTCTCAAGGCAACTGTGTGGATTTTTGTGCAAATCCAGCGTCATATTTTATTGAAATCACTGTCATTCCTAGCCTGAACCTTTACTCAGTTACAAAAACCATATAGAATACACATCACTCAGCATGACAATTTTGCTACATCATGATACAAATAGAATACACCTAATCCATGAATTTGGAATTTTTCATGTCTTGGAGCATAAAAATGTCGTGATCCTTCAAGATCTTTTTCCCGTCGCGAGCTTCCAGTGGCCTGGATATGTCTATGTGATTGACACCAGCTGGGTAGCGTGCCTCCTCAATGCTTCCTGCCCAGTCAAAGTCGACGATCATGAACTGTGTTTTGTTGGTCTTGGACACCATGATATTCGTGTCGCGAATATCGCCATGGACGTAACCAGCTTCGTGAAGACTTTCCAGTTTTGTGGATATATCGGTGAAGACAGAAAGGGGGAGCCGTCCCGTGCGGGCACTCAGCATCTCAAAGTCGGCAGGGAGCATGTCCATGACCACCATGAACCAGCCACCGGCGATCTTTTCGAACCCTCGCAAGGCTGGGGCACATCCCAAAGATGCAAAGTGTTTATGGGCATCACACGAATAAGTTCGAACGAATTTGATACAGATATGATCGCCTTCGTCCTCAGTTCCGGAAAAGACGAGCTTGTCAGAGTCCAGTTCTATCACGTACCGGAAATGTTTCAGTGTATTGCTGTGAAGCGATCTGTAACTCGTTGGGTACGCGAACATATGAGGGGGGACTGGTGCGGAAGTAAGAAGAGGGGTTTCTGTCAGGTTTTCGTAATACTCATTCAGCCTTTCGGCAGCTTTGCGAAAAGCGGCCATGTGACGTGTCACAGTAAGTCGATTGTGGATATCGGTGGAATGAAAGTGAAACGCAATAGGTGTTGACAAGATCTGTACCGTCGGACGCAAATTCCATGCGGCACCGGCAAACACTATATGTGGCCCTGCAGAAAGAACCAATTAGCTCCCCATAGAACCAGTACAGTATGCAGGGACCAACCGAAAATGGCGAGAAGGAGGCAGGGCAAAGGGGATCTGCTGAATTTGACAGCCTTATCTCTCGTCCCCTCCAGGTAGTATCCTATGGCTTGGAAATACGGCTCGGCTGATGCATTCCCGGTTTCGTTCTTGTATTCGGCGATCACATAACGATGTCCTTGGGATTGCATGTCTGCATCCGTAATATATGCAGTAGTTTTCGTTTTGGTGATGGTGAAGTGGAAGCGGTACTTTTGAAATACCTTGTCAACAGCTTCAAGCCGTCCATTCTCGTTTTCATACAAGGCCGACATGGCTATCGCGAGGTGCTCGACGAAACTGTTGTCGTCAGCTGTTACATCAATAGTCTGACAGTCATCAAGAAACTGGCCAAAGACAGGATGTAAGAGGGTTACGGGGATAGTTTCCTCATATTCGCGAGGACGACCACAGGGTATAGATTTAAGGTGTTGTGAATTATTCTGTCGTCTCCGAAATTCAGACGGGGTGCCAGTGGCTGAAGGCTTCTCCCTTGGAGTGGATATTAGGAATTTATTGCGTGCAGTCGCGATCGGATCGCCATTTCCTACGTGACGATATGCCGATAGAGGATGTCCCGTTATCTCTGTGAGCTTGGGTGAGTACGAGCCAATACCGTCATGCTTTTTGCTTACTTTCATCGAGTAGCTCGACGACAACACGTGGCATCTGAAGAAAAGGGACGTCATCGAAGACCTCCTTCAGAATCACAGTCCCTTGCAGCATTTGACCCGATCCTGTAGCACCAAGAATCTCGTGGAGCTCGTCATCGTTGTTTGCTGTAACCTTGTAAACTCTGAAGTCAGCAAAGGGTATAATACCACTGTATGCCGCCTTGATCGAAGTGTTGAGATCGCGAATACCGGCCTTCGCTGGTATTGTGACTTGAAAGCAACCCGCAAGATCTGCCCCTCGAATCCAACATTCAACGGAAAGCACGTCTGGTAATGTGAAGAGAATGATCATCATCGTTGAGGTTGAGTTGGAATTGCAAGTGCCACATACCAATGATAAGGTGAAGTTGGTTTCTGGCAGGCGGTTGCGTAAAAACATCTGACAACTGCTGCCCCGCCTCCAGAGGATTTTCCAGACTGGGACTGGTGAGATTGCTGAGCACACCTTCAAGTGAATCACCTCCTTCATATGGAAAGGAAACTTTGTAGAGATCGAGATGCCTTGCTTGCACATTACGGAACTGGACGGAGTCCTTGTTCTTGATGATTTCTTTGAGGTCGTAGACAGTCTCTGAACTTGAGACCTTGACATAAAAGACGACACTGGATCTGTCACCGCGCACCCAGCAGCAAAGAGTCAAGTCTGGGACCACAACAGGGAGGCCGTCAGAAGGGTAATAGGATACAGTGATAAATGCGTACAAGAACTGGGTGCACGGACGATGATGAACCACACCCCTTCCTTAGACTTGGGGAAAAGGGTTGATAATTTGGATCGTGTGGTGAGCTTCCTTTCCTTTGAATGATCCCACCGACTAAGTTTGCCTTCCAGTTGCTCATCGTCAGGAAGGCAAATGGAGTAGAGATCGAGATACTTTGCTTGGACCTGTAAGGAGTTCTCGTCCTTGATGACTTTTTTGAGGTCGTAGACAGTCTCTGAACTTGAGATGTCGACAGTCGAGATCCTTTCAACATCTTCACCGTAGACCCAACAGTTGAGCTTTTCCATGTTGTGGCACTTGGCTGGTCTGAATGAAAAGATGAAAGACGGTGCGCGTGTGTGTGGCAACTCCGCCATACCTTGGTGGTGATCATGGATCACGTGCTACGCCTGGCTTGGGGGGGCAACTCCGCCATAGCAAGGAAAGTCAAAAATTGGTCGACCGATTGACCGATTGACCGTTCTGACCGTTGGTCACGTGACCCGACCGATTGCTTTTACCCTAGGTTTCAAGAATTTATGGGCTCGAGTCAGCAGTAGAAGTATAGTAGTTTAATTACTACTCCCTAGTATTTTACCATGTCATGGTATCTCATTATGATAATGATTTAATGGCCCAGATACATAGCAGGCTGGATATCTTGTTACCTCACTAATTAGAGTGTGAGCTGGACATTTACTGGTACTATAGTAGTACATGGTCTTACTGACTTGCCTTGAGCCTGACTTATAATGCATAATATAAAATAATGCTTAATATTCATATTCTCACGTCACCGACGCGAGAAAAAATCATGAGGCTTTTCGAGCAGAACAGCTGTCTCGAGATAACATGCAAGCTTAGTCGCGCGCATGCGCGCGAGAAATTTACTACCACAGTAGCAAGCCACAGTCAAAAATCAAAGTTAGCAACGAGTATTGAATACACATATTGAGCAACACTTTTAGCCTTGATATTATTTACATATGAGTTTGATTAATCTATAAAAGACTAGCTAGCAAGAAAAAACTGAAAGAAAGCTAGAATTGATGTACTATGCCCCAGTATAGTGGCTGAAAATTCGGTGGACTTTCCTGGCACCTGGCGTGGCCGGAGGCCACGCCGGACCTTCCTTGCTATGACCAATTTTTCCTTGGGGGGTTTGGCTATCCCTGGGTTGGAGTTGAAGGTGTTCTGTAGTGTTTCGGAAAGACGCATGAAACTTCATGTTGTCCAAGCAGATTTACCTCCTTCTGTGGGTGCTTTTTGTACACCTGGCGGGGATTTATCTCTTTACAAAAGGCTTTCTCCTCAATCGTCTTTCACTTTCAGACTCAAGCATCTGCTCGCATGACACCCTTGCACTGCGAGCATTCGCCGAAATCACTCGGTGCAACATACCAAAACCAAAAGCACAGCGCTGAATGAAAGCCTACTATGGCTATCTCCGGACCATCAACTCCATTGTTTGTTGCCACCCAGGGTGCCCAGCCACTGGAGTGTCGTGATGTCTGTCTATTGCCTTGATCCTTGCGGACTCAGGCACATAGATTTTGTTTTTAAAATGAAAGAGCCCGTCTTTCCATAAATAATTTTCATTTCCATCAAGGCGCACCTTTTCTTCTGAGGAAATGTCTTTCTTGAAGACTTCCAGAAGATTGGAATCCTGCCCGATTCTAACATTGGCAACCCTTGATTGGTCTATCAGGGTGACACCTTTGTTATCATCCTCAATGCCGTTGGCATAATTCTCTCTTCTGGATAAAGTGTCCGCTTTCCCCATAGAGCTTCTAGGCTTATGAATTAATTTGTAATTAAACCTAGACAAGTACACCGCATAGCGGGCCTGTCTCTGGTTCAAGTCTCGGGCTGTCATAAAGTACTCTAGATTCTTATGATCGGTCCAAATTTCAAATTGGTGCCTAGCACCTTCTAAGTAGTGTGGCCAGTGCTATAGAGCTCTAATGATGGCCAGCATCTCCTTATCGTATATTTGATAGTTGCACTCCGTAGGCGACAAACTATGTGATAAATAGGCACAAGGCCTCCAAAGGTCATCAGGGCATTTAATTGACAGAACAGCCCCAGTAGCAAAATCAGAAGAGTTGGTTTCTAGCCAGAACTCTTTGTCTAATTCTGGAAATGCTAAAATGGGCGCTGTTGTAAACACCTGTTTAGGCTTATCAAAAGCTTCTTGTTCTTTGGCGCCCCAATGCCAAACAATGTTCTTTTTAGTGAGATCATTCAACGGTCTCGTTATCTTTGCAACATTTTTGACAAATCTTCGGTAAAAGTTGCCTAAGCCAAGGAAGGCCCTAACTCCTTTGACGCGAGTGGGTTCAGGCCAGTCCAAAATAGCTTGAACTTTCACTTTCTCAGGATCCATCCTGATTCTGTTCTGGCCTATTATCATATCGAGGAAGTCTACTTCCTTCACTTTAAAATTATATTTTTTGGGTTTGACAAATAGGTCCCGATCCTGTAAGCGTTGAAGGACTTCTTGCATGATCCTATCATGCTCAGCCTCATTGTCTAACTTTGTAAATATTAATAAATCGACAATGTAAATGACGACACAGTTCTCCATATCCACAAAGATCTCATTCATCATGTTCTGAAAGGTCGCCAGTGAATTGGTCAACCCAAAGAACATAATGAGGGGCTCAAAAGATCCTCGGTGGCACGTGAACGCAGCCTTCCAAGCATCTTCCTCTTTGATGCGTACATTATTGTATCCCCATCTGAGATCCATCTTTGTTAAGATCTTGGCACCAGCCAATTTGTCTACTAGCTGACTGATCAAAGGCAGCGGATACACATTTTTAACCGTGTGCTCATTCACGTAACAATAGTCCATAATCATTGGCTCCTTACCATCCTTTTTAGGAATGAAGAACACTGGGGACATCATAGGGCTTTTGGAAGGTCTGATGTAACCCTTCCTAAGCTGCTCATCTATGAAACTTGATACCTCATCTCTTTCTGGAGCAGGGAGTGGTATCATATGTCCTTTTCTCGGTTTGAAGGTGTCCTTCAAATCTATAGCATGGTCCCAAGGCTTAGCCTCTGGGAAGCGCTCTGATTTATGTTTTGAAAAGACTTTCCAGAAGTCATGGTACTCGGGAGGTACCAGCCTCTTAATCTCTTCTTCGGGTTTTACCTCATCATTGTCATCGTTGATCTTTTCTAAAGGTCTGAGCTCGTAAACGTGACTAGCGTTTAACTTTTCAAGACGCTTATTGTGATGGACGTGATTTGGTTTACCCAAGTTTACACATTCCTGAGGGCAACGTGACAATGTGACAACCCCTGTCTGCCAGTCACTCTCAGGATTGTGTTTAAATAGCCAGGTCCAGCCCAAGATTAAATTAATCTTCCCTAGTTGGGTAGCTTTGGCGGTGACTTGTTCTCTGTGTCCTTGGTACTAGACAACAAAAGAACATTTGTGTGTGATACAGCCGTCCACGTTAAGTGTACCGTGTCGATGATAAGAAC